ATCATTCTCTAAGCCACGTTTTCTCCTACTACTGATAGTAGGTGCATCAGACAGACGCTGAGTCTCAACACTCTGATTAAACCATTATTCTAACCTCCTTCAATGTAAATATGCATATGTATCCTTCCAATAATAATAAAGAGAGTAAGATAATAAATGTAATAAAAACAACAATAGAGTAAAATAATAGAAATGTAATAATAACAGAAATAAATAAAATAAAATTATAAATGTAATAAAAATAATACTAATTACAGAGTAAAATAATAAATAACCTTGACTCAAGGATAAGCAGAGGGGAGCTTTTTCGGCCTAAAAAGGGGCTGAAAAACTAGGCTTATACTAGAGTATTTACAGTATATCCATCTATACTGTATCTTTATATGTTTGATCAAGACCTCAATAAGCTATCTTTAAGGTTTTGTTTCAGTCTGGATGAGAAAATTCAGTGCTTATTTAGTAGTGAAAAGTGAGCTGTGAAATGGCATATGATTTCTCTTTACAGCATAATATTTTTGGAACCATCCAATGGTTGTGAAGAGTTCACTGTTGGGCTTCTAGGAAGGAGATTTACTGGAGTGCTTTAGTGTCGTCGATAAATTTGAAAACATATGTTTTATGGGACATATCACTTTTCACTGTTGTCTTTTATCAGCCCTGGGGTCCTAGGAATGCTTATATCTACTAGAACTTTGTGCACTTGTTATATTTAAGCGAGAATTGGTTTTAAATGTTTATAGTGGCCTTTTATGAAACCAGTTTGAAACATAGTAGGAGTATGTAGTTGAAACACACAGCTTTATTTATTGGCTGGAAATGTTAGCCAAGTCTCAACACGCTAAAATTGCATTGCTTTCTAATACCGGTAACTCTAGTTATTTAGTGGAGGTGTATAAACAACATGTTCAGGTACTCAAATGCATCAGCTTCTGTTAGCAAGGTAGACTTTTAATTGTATTTCCATGCAAAAACATTCAGTTAAAATACATTATCATGAAATACATTCAATAAAATTCATATATTAAAACTCATTTCTATAAAATATACATATTAAAATGCATGGGACAAAGATCAGCTGATTGGCAATAGAGAACTGATTTCAACAAAATTTTAATTTTTTTATTTAAGATATTTATACTCCACCTTTCTCCACTTAAGGGCCCAAAACGGCTTACAACAGATAAAACAGGCATAATAAAAGTTAAAACATTAAAATCCAAATAATAGTAGTTGCTGTCACACATCCTAAAACATACATTCAATTATAATAAAACATTCAAACTTTAAAGCCACCCATAAATACATATTACAGTCCAGGTTCTTCCACATCTTTGTAAATCCTGAGCTTTTAAGGCTCCTCCTAAACTCCAACATAGAGGGCACTGCTCTAATTTCCCCTGGAAGGGCATTCCATAGAAGGGGTGTCACTCCGGAAAAGGATGCATCTCTGGAAATCTTTAACCTGAGAGAACCATGGAACTTAGTTGACATAAGTCTTTCTCCACTACATCTGAGAGTTCTTGCTGGCATGTATTGTTGCAAGTAGTCTGTGCTGATGCCATGAAGGGCTTTAAAGGTCAAAATCAGCACCTTGAATTGGGCCCTGAAACTAATTGGCAGCCAATGAAGCTGCTTCAGGAGCGGATTAGTATGTTCTCTTACATCCCCTCCTGTTAGCAGTCTGGCTGCAGATCTTTGAACAAATTAAAGTTTCTGAACCGTTTTCAAAGTCAGCTCCTCGTAGAACACATTACAATGGTCCAGGCATTACCACCACGTATTACCACCACAGCCAAGTCGGATTTACCAAGAATGGTCGCAGTTGGCGCACCAGTTTAAGTTGTGCAAAGGTGATCCTGGTAACCTCCATCACCAGATTTAAGGAGGAATCTAGAATAATCCGCAAGCTGCAGACCTGGGCTTTCAGGGTGGGGGGGAGGGTGAAACTCGTTCAGCTCAGGTTGTAACCCTATTCTCAGACCAGTAGTACTTTTGTCTTGTCTGGATTGAGTTTAATTTTGTTTACTCTTATCCATCCCATCACTGCCTCCAGGCACTGATTCAGGTGCAGCAATTTCCTTGGCTTTATCGGGTGGGGAGGAGTAGTAGAGTTGGGCATTGTCTGTGTATAGGTGATACCGAACAACAAAATTCCGGATGATCTGTCCCAGCAGTTTCATGTAGATGTTAAATAACATTGACCCCAATGGCCATGGGATCAAGCAGGATTCCCCCAACACCACCTTCTGGATACAATCCAAGAGAAAGGACAGGAACCCCTCAGCCCCATCCCCTTGAGTTGCTCCAGAAGGATACCATGGTCGATGGTATCGAAAGCTGCTAAGAGGTCCAGCAGAAGCAAGAAAGTCGGACTCCCTTTATCTAGTTCTCCACGCAGATCATCTACCAAGGCGACCAAAGGCATTTCTTTACCATGCCCCAGCCTGAAGCGAGATTGAAATGGGTCTAGAAAATCAGCTTAAGGAGTTGTTTGGCAACCACCTGTTCCAAAATTTTGCTGATATAGTTCTTGTAGTTCTCAAGAATGGCTGGATTAAGGGTTTGTTTTTAAGCGCAGAAATCTATGGGAATATGATTGCATCTAGCATAAAAGTTGAAAACCTTTGCACTGTGCAGGCTGATTGATTTCTCGGATAAGTGTAAAGGTTTTCTTGGCTACCATAAGAAAAATTGTTCTTACACCAGAAGAAAAAAAAAGAATGTATATTATCCTCTGCTAGCACAGAAAACCTTGAGAATCATAAAGTCCCTAAAGTTTCCTAAGTCTACTCACCTGCCACAAATGTTGACTATTCATCATATCCACGTTCCAAAAGCAGAGAATGGCTGTACCGATATGGAAAATGACTTGAGAGGACTAAACTTTAAGCAGCAAGACTAAGGAAGCTGAATCTTTCCCAGCTTACCAGGACAAATTGCCCCTCTAATCTGGGAAACAAATTCTTCCTTCACCTCATATATTGTGAGCACTGAGATGCTTGGACCCAGCCAAATCCATCTGATAAGTCCTTCCCAAACAAGGACTGACATTTTAGTGATACAACATAGTCTGTCAAAGATTTAGTCCCTGTTGCCTCTGACAGCATAACTAGTGCAAAGCTTTTCCTGAGCTTCTGGAAAGTTGATATTGAAATAGCCATTACTGAGTGGTTGCAATCAGTGGTCATCCACCTTTTCCCTCTGTGAAATTCAACTGAGCACATCCCCTCAGCATCAAATATCCTGTGCTCCCCCCTCCCCTTTGTATTGATTCCTACTAGTCAGTAATTTAGGAGGAAATAATGGTGAGATATGTAGGATAGGGGAAGAAACTCTTGAAAAACCAGAATATTTTGAGAGAATTTAAATTTTTAAGCTTATTGCTGATTAGAAGTGTCGAGTTCTTAATGTGAAACAGATGGGGTTAACAGTACTTGGAGGTTTCTTGTCAATCTGTCAGCAAGAGGAATCTGCTAGCCAACAGAAATCTGTCACTTTCTTTTTCTTGTGTCAGGAACTCTCAGAAAGATGAAGCATCACTGAGGGGGAAATGGGGTATTGGCAGACTCTATGTCAGCTTTGGAAGATGCAGAACACTGTGATTTAATTGTTTCTACCCATGTCAAGATGGTGACTCATAGAATTTGAGCTAAATGATGATCTGGTCCTCGAAACATTCTTATCTGAAGTCAGGGAAGCTGTACTGCAGTATTTTACTGGATTTAGGGCATATTGCTTTGTGCTTAAAGCAGCATTTCTCCCAACTTTTTGAACTCCAACACACTCATAAATTTATGAATCCCTTAATGGTATATTTTCTGCAGTCAAATGCTCAGAATCCTTGCACACAGTTTCATGTCTCCATATGACTGTTCAATAAATCGATATGTTAATCGATCCAATGTTAAAAGAAGACTTGAAAAGGGCATCTTCAATCATTTACTGAAACCAATAGGTCAATGGAGGAGAAAGTAAGAAAACTGCTGTGCCAAAATCTCTAGTACATTTTCTTAGTCTTTCCAACATCTAACACTAATGGTCCAATGTTGGTAGCAACAATATTTCAGTGTTTCTTTCAGGGATGAAAATACCTCTAACTGATACCTGAAACTGACTCTGGAACTCTGGTACCCTATATTGCAAGGCAATTGATACATTGACTTCGTTTCTGTGAAGTGACTAAACAGATATGCTGAAGGACATTTTAAAAACTGGCTACCTGGTCTTATATTAGACTACAGTCATGTTAATAGCTTTGCTTTAATATTTGTAGGACTTTTGGAAGAAGCTGGGAGAATTAGGAGTTCTGGGAATAACTGCTCCAGGTAAGTAATTGTGCAACTGTTATGAATCGTAATGTAAATATCTGATATGCAGGATGGATTTTCATTCACTGGACCAAATACCCAATATGTCTAAAATTGAATACTGGTGGGGTTGGGAGGGAATTGATTTTGTCCTTTGGGAGTTGCAGTTGCTGAGATTCCCAGTTCACCTACAAACAAAAGAGCATTCTGAACTCCACCAATAATGGAATTGAACCAAACTTGGCACCGGAGCTCCCATGACCAACAGAAAATAATAGAAGGGTTTGGTGTGCATTGACCTTGAGTTTGGGAGTTGTAGTTCACCTACATCCAGAGAGCACTGTGGACTCAAACAATGATAGAGCTGGATCAGACTTGGCATGAATACTCAATATGCCCAAATGGTGGAGTTTCGGGAAAACAGACCTTGACATTTGGGAGTTGTAGTTGCTGGGATTTATAGTTCACCTACAATCAAAGAGCATTCTGAACCCCACCAACGATAGAATTGGGCCAAACTTCCCACACAACCACATGCCTTGAAGGGACTCACTGGTCCGAGCCTCCCTTCAGCCTTGCACGCTCTCCCTCACCCGCACACGTGCAGCACACTGCCATGCGCTGAGCATGCCTGCTCTCCCCTCCCCTACTTGGAGTCTCAGGAACAATCCAATCACAGCGGAGGAGGGCTTTTGATGGGAGGATTCTCCGTCTGTTTCCAAAAAGGAAGAGAAGGACAGGCGGAGGGATCTTCAACCTTCTCTGCCAAGGGTTTCCTAAGTCCACCAGACATATATGTTTCTGATGATCTTTGGCGAACCCTCTGAAATTTCCTCGTGACCCCCCCCCCAGGGGTCCCGACCCCCAGGTTGAGAAACACTGATCCAAAGGCTCTCAAGATACATACACGAGGATTTGTGTAACTTCTGTCTTCTGTGAACACCTCCCTTCTATATTCAGTGCAGCCACCACACATGAATCCAAGCTTTCAGATAAAAAGCATTTCCATAGACTAAAACTATAAAACCAAAATATCCTTTATTTACATAAATTAAACCTAACAGACCAGATTAATAGTCTGTTACATTTAAACCACCTTTACAATACTCCTTTCTAGCAAATTCAGACCAACCATACCAAACTCTCAGCCAAAACTCAATTCGCTCACTTCAACTCCAGAAATGCCTGTCTTAATAAACTCCCATCTATCATTCATCAGCCTTATGCAAATCTCTTCAAACATGCAATCAATCTGCATTCATTCCAGCTATCTATTCCAGACAACCAAGAAATCAAATAACATTTATCCATGCCAATCCATGGCATCACACATATAGATATTCATTCTGCTTAGGTATAACTTTGCAGTTAATCTGTGCACTGAATTTAGGAGGATTGTTCTACCTAGGTCTAAGTCAAAAGCGAATACAAGGTCAATGACGCACAAAAAATTGAATGGGTGAATATACAGAGTGAACACGTATAGAGTTAATGTCTGAAAATCCCCTTTTTCTATTTCTTAATGGAGGTTGCTAGCAGTAGAAATTTTATATTTCAGTAGTGTGTACATGTAGTTTAGTTATATGTATATATGTTTTCCTTCCTCTTACCAGCTGAATATGGTGGATCTGAAATGGGATATCTGGACCATATACTGGTGATGGAAGAAATTTCTCGTGTTTCGGCAGCTGTTGGATTAAGTTATGGTGCCCACTCTAATCTCTGTGTTAATCAGTTAGTGAGAAATGGAAATGAAGCACAGAAAGAGAAATACCTGCCTAAGGTATGTGTAATTGTGGCATGTATAAGGCAACAAGGACAAAGCATACCTGTAACACTGTTTTTTAAAATATTCAGAAACAGAATTCCTATTTCAGTCATTCTGTTGAAACTTTCTGAACTAGAATCTGGTTGGTAAATAAAGAAAACCCAGGTCTTTTTTAACTTCTAAAAATTCTATCCGATTTATTGTTACAAATGCAGTGGACTTTTGGTATCCCTGGGGTTTCATTCCAAGACCCCATGGTTATCAAAATTCATTGACACTGAAGTCCCATTATGTACAGTAGCATATTAAAATAGTGTCCCAAATATAAAATTATTATTATAAAATGACAAAATCAAGGTTTGATTTTTTGTATTTTAAAAAATATATATTTTCAAACCAGGGATAATTGATGTATTGTCGAAGGGATAATTGAATCTGTGGACAAAGAATCCATAGATTTGGAAGACTGCCTGTCCTGTAGATATAGTTCTCTAGCTGAAAAGATGACCTATAGACAGTACAAACCTAAGTATACCTGATTAGAAGTTCTGCTGTGATCTCTGGGCGAACTGCTTTGCAAACATGTTTACAATTAAAGCATTAGATCCAGTGAACTTGGCAGGACTTCTGTCTCTACGTTTACATGTCTCTGCTTGTACCGTTTATTGCTGAACAAAAATGTAGCGCTTTTTTTCATCATACATCTCAGATTAAAGCTTGGAAAAGTCACTTTTCAGATGAGTAATTATAATGACTTGTGGAAGCTGTCCATATCTGAGCCATTGGAAGAATGATTCTGCCTCTGAATGGTGGATGGCTTCAGCAGAGCATTATATTAATTTGATTTATATGTAACTTCCCAAGCTCTGCCTGGGAAATGCAAAGAACACTTAAAGTTCTTTGCATTAGTAAAACCTTAATGTCGTATACTTTCATCTCTACTATTTGCTCACTATTTATAGACATGACATTTCATCTGATTTTTTTAGGCTGTTGCACACCAAAATGTTAATGACTTGGTGAATAACTTGCCATATCACAAATGCCAGATATCTCTCACTCCTTTTCATTACTCTCAAATACAGCATTATTCAGTGAAATAAGTTCACTCATTCAGCATGAAGCAGACTGGCAGCTAGTGAAGCTTTTGCAACAAGGGTGTTACGTGATCCTTGAAGCCAGTCCTAATTAACAGTCTGGCTGCAGCTCTTTGGGTGAGCTGAAGTTTCCAAACACTCTTCAAATGCAGCCGCAAGTAAAGCATGTTACAATAATCCAAACAGAATGTAATTGAGACATATACTACCACGGCCAGATCTAGTGTCTCAAGGAATAGGCATAGTTGGCATACAAGCCTTTGGAGATTAAGCTATAGCGCAATAATAGTCTTGAAATATGTGCAATTGATCTTTGGAATGGCCCTGGATTATGGTTGAGAATGGAATGATTTCAATAGTGAATGCAGTGTTTTATATGTTTTAATGCACATTTAATTTTAACTTTTAACTTAAGTGTATTCTAACTGCTGTCCAAAGGCATTTAATAGTTGCCATATGTAAAGCCGCCTTGAATCCCCTTCAGGGTAGAGAAAGGCAGGATACAAATAGAGTAAATAAATAAAATAAATTTAAACATATGAAGGCTTTCCTGGCCATTGTAGAAACCTGAGCCTTAAAAGTTCAAAGCTAAGTCCAGAAGTACACCCAAACTGCCGATTTGTGTGTTCAGAGGGAATATAACCCCATCTAACACAGACTGAACCTTTATTCTCTGATCTGCCTTTTAACTGACCAGAAGCACCTTTATCTACATTTCTTTTCACTTGAAACCAAATAGCAATTTCATAATGGGATGGAAGTTGAGTTGGCAATCATCTCACAGGCGATTGCTTATGAAATTTGTCCCTGTGTACCCAACAAGTTTGAAAACCGAATCAGCTAAATTGTAGATGAGACAAAGAAAGATAAATAAGAGCATGTTGACGGAGAGGCAGGAAGGGAGTTGGGGGGGAGGGTAGGCTGCTATGCCAAAGAGCAGCATAAGGGAACACAGAAGGAGGGTGACCATCTGCTCATTCATTGCAAGGGTTGAAGGGTATTGGAGCTTTAGTTTATTGTCTAACATTTTGACATCATTTTTCATGCCCCTTAATCATTCTGTTCATTTTAGAGCATCCTGTTTTCAATGCGCTGGCTTTTTACCAAGTGTGTCTGAACTGTCTGCCCCCTTCCGGTCATTTGTTTTCAAAGGCCAGGACAGGAGTGAGCGGGATGTATACAGCTGCTAGCGCAGTCCTCTTGGCTCTATCTTCTGTCTGGAAAAAGCCAACTTGAACAATATCTGCATTGCTCATTTGCCCATGTCTTCAGCAAACTGCAATAATTTGATCTTGTGCCATTTCTCAATGTAGCACTAATAAATCTCTTTAGAGAATTCTGCCAGGAGAAACACCCCCATTTTGATTTCTTCCACATTATGAGAGGCTTATTTTGACACCTATCCTTTTTTTAAAGCAGTGAGTGTGGGAATCACTATAGCATTTCATATTTATTATAAAATCTTTAAAGATAAATTGGAGGTGATTGTCACATATTTCTTTTGTGTCTTTCTTGTCCTTTCAGCTAATCAGTGGAGAGCATATTGGAGCACTTGCAATGAGTGAAGCCAACACTGGTTCTGATGTTGTCTCTATGAGGCTGAAGGCAGACAGAAAAGGTAAAAGGTGTGTGTTTGTGTGTTCGTGTACATGAGACAGATCCCTTTTCTGGCCTCAACATGATCCCTGTGTAGACCACTGACTGTAGTGTTTTGTGGGTTTGTTATGCTATGTGTGACCAGACACTCTATCAAACAGTTATCAATCAGAATAAGCAAGTAGAAGTTCATTAACACATAGATAACACGTGAATCCCTGAACTATTTAATCATTTATTAAAAGTATTCAGTATTAACCATTATTATATTTATTAATAATTATTCTGGAGTACTTGGATGTGTCAGGTGATAATGCAGAAAGAAGTGATTCTATTACACAGGCAACCAAATGGATTTTGGGGTAAAAGTGCAGAATGCCACCCAACTATTTTAAGTCACCAAGAATATTCTGACCAATATTTGAGAAAATGTGGAAAGATGGCTGTGAAGATCCCTTACCTTGCCAGCCAGGGTGACAGGGCCCAGGAAGAGACAGGCTAGGTAGTTTCAGCTTAGAAGGCCTGGCAGAGAGAGAGACAGGAGCCATCTTAGTTTAGGGAAACTCCAGCTCAGAGAGGGGGGAGTGGCCGAGGCCTAAGCCAGCCCAGCAACAGCCAGGATTGGTTTGGAAAAGAGGGGCGGAGTTAGCCAGTTGGAGGGAAAAGAGAGCAGATAATTTTGACAGTTCAGTTCTGAGTAGAGTAGAGTTGAGTTCTGAGAGAGGTTAGAGTAGGATTTGGATTTTTAGGAGACTCTGTTAAGAATAGGCAGCTTGCCTGTAGTTTGCACAGCAAAGTAGGCTGTGGCAGACTGAGTTACAGCTATTTTAGGAAAGAAGATAGCTGGGTTTTGTGTTTAAGAAATTGTAACAAAGGAAAGAACCATTCGCTCACGTAACCATTATGCTTCTAAGAACCCATAACAATTTTATTGTAACAGCCAAGCCTCTGAACCTGCATCCACTTTTTATTCTGTAACTTGTATTTCAATAAACTCTTTCTTGTTATTTTTAAAATTGAAGCCTGAGTCAAGTGCCATTTTTGGTTGGAGTCATTTCCCTTGTTGAATCAACCTCTCCTGTTTTCCCCTCAAAGAAAGCCCTTGATAATACACAGCATTTGGTGGAGTAAAAAGCCTTTTATTAATTTAAACAGCATTTTAACATTCTAATTAGCTAGAGGGTTCGTGATTTCTTTAGTTTATGGTGGCAGCGAAGGTTTTACATAACGAGACCTCCCCTCAAACACTATAAGAGGCAAAGTGGTGTGATTTCCTTATTGAAGGAAAGACAGTGGTGGGATTCTTTGACCCCCCTGCCTTGATAAGCCTCTCGAAGTCGTTATAATGGCCATAGAATTTTACTGGAGGGCCTAAAGATTTGTAGGGATCTTTGTAAAACACTTTAGCCAATTAAAACATCAAATAAATCAAATAACAACACAATTGTAAGCAATATAAAAACAATACGGCTGAAAGAAACATTGCTGAGGTACAGATTCAGTGAGTCCAATACATTTTTCCAGGAGCGCAGGAAAGTGCAACAATACAGTAAACTGGGCAGGAAATACTGTCAAGCACATGTTGAGATAGGATGTATGCCAGTGTAAAATTGTCCTGAGTGCAGCATCACACTGTCTCTCAATTAGCTTTTCCTGGGTGGGTTTTTTTCCTACTTGAGAATTAATCAATTCCTTCCTTTTTCCTAGGGGATTATTATGTTTTGAATGGGAATAAGTTTTGGATTACCAATGGGCCAGATGCTGATGTGCTGATTGTTTATGCTAAAACCGAGCCAAATGCTGTTCCTGCTTCTCAGGGTATAACAGCGTTCATTGTGGAAAAGGTAGGTTTGTGAACCTGTCTTTGCACCTTCTTGTTGAGGGATTTTTACATATGCTATTTTGACATTTGGATGAGAGAGAACTTACTGTTGTGAAAAGACGCATCTTGCCCTTACCTGTAGTGTGAAGCTTCTGTTTAGATGAGTGAAACTTGAAATGTAATCAGAGGAAAGGTAAGAACAGAGGATACAATTTATTATGACAGTGGCTTGCATGCTGTTTCCTGAAATATCTTGTACCTTCAGCAGAAAATAACTAGGGACTGGTTATTTTCCCATAGTGATCTAGACGAAGGACTTGATATGGATAGGAACAGATTAAGGAATGTCTTTGAGGAAAGGATTCACCATTTCCATCTTCAGAAATGGAGAGTGTAAGTATTTTGTCAGGATTAGACCTTAGGGAAATGACTTTTTGGGACCACGACCTCCAAAATCCCTTGGCCATATTTTAGGAATTGGAGTTCAAAAAGGAGCTTGCCCATTCTCTGATTGGGTCCTCCATTATTTTAAAATATCCCATCTTTAATTTCTAGAAAAAGCAACACGGAAGCTCAAGTCTTGGAATTTTATTTGGTTTTAATCTGTTTAATTGATTTTTAATTGTGTTTTAATAGCTTATATGTTTAGATTGTTTATATTTTGATGAGTGTTTATTGTTTACCTGTGTGGCATTGAATTTTGCTGGATTTGTAAGCCGTCTTGAGTCCCTTCTGGGGTAGAGAAAGGCGAGGTAGAAATGAAGTAAATAAATAAAATAAATAATAAAGTCCAGCTGGAAATGATAGAGTTTCACTATGTCTGGAAATTCTTCCACATGTCAACAGTGTGGGACTCATTTTATATAATACTAATACAAGTGCCGTAAAACTAGTTTGGGGCCACTTCCATGTATTCTTGTTTAAAAATTATTTTAGTCTCAATGTATTGTCGAAGGCTATTTTAGTCTCAATGCTCTGCCTGCTCATCCTCTGAATTGGTGTATAATGTGCTACATCGGATCCATGTTGTTATAGAGAGGTTCAACCATGCTAGCTTTTGGTGCATGTGTGCTTTGTGTATAGTATTGATTGGGATTATTCTGGCATCTAGGTTAAAATTTGATTTAGTTTGAAAAAGGAGGCAAAAAGGAAGCTGCTAAGAACAGGAGAGTGACCTGAATGGATATGAGCAGGTAGTGGTGTTAGTACCCAATTATCTATATGTATCTGCTTTTGCTTTTTTCAAAAAACAGGCTGGATGGCCATCTGTCAGGGGTGCTTTGAATGCTATTTTGCTCCTTCTTGGCAGGGGGTTGGACTGGATAGCCCACGAGGTCTCTTCCAACTCAATGAGTCTATGAAAAAAAGAGTTTCTGGGGCCCTTTTTTACATGCTTATGTTCACCCATAGTTTGGTTTAGATACAAAATACTCTTCCATAAATGGAAAGTATAAATCTCTGTTGTGTAGGAAGAGAGCATGTGGTGTTAAGTAAGATTATTTTTCCATGTAATTACTATACTAATTAAAGAATTGCACACGCTATAGCATTGATTATACACCAGTTTATTTCCTATCTCTGCTGTGTCAGTGTGTATTTGCTTCCCTTGCTGTGGGTGCTGACATGGATATGTCTCTTCACTCCCACACAAATCATTCCTATGTGATTAGCTGCTGACCCCACTCTCATTTCAGACTTGGTAATTTGGAGGTCTTAATCTATTGTGGCTTCTGATCTGATTTCTAATGACATGGGAATTTCTGTGTTTTCTTCTCCCTCTCCTGTTTTTTTCTTCTTCTTTAGGGTATGCCTGGTTTCAGCACTGCACAAAAGCTTGATAAACTGGGGATGAGAGGGTCAAATACCTGTGAATTAATCTTTGAGGACTGCAAGATTCCTGGTGAGTGAACGCTCAAGCAGTTCTACCTTGTACTATGCACAGTAGCTTCTCTACTTTCTCTTTATATGTATTACCTATTTATTATTTATATCTTGGTTTTTACCAGGTTGGGAAAATATATTTATTTCTAAATATAGTAATTTGTAGTGTTTTATAAATTTGCCTATAAATATATGCATTTCTCATTGTATTTGTTATCAAAATATTCAGATAATTGTGGAAAGAATTACAGATAGAGTATCCTTATCTGGAAATCCAAAATGCTCTAAAATTGTCCACAAGGGTGGCTGAGATAGTGACATTTTTTCTTTCTTTCGATTCAATTTACGCAAACTTTTGTTTCACAGAAAAACTGTTTTAAAATATTGTACAAATGATATAAGATGTATATGAAATATTGGTGCATCTAAATGTATAGATTTGGATCCGATCTCCAAGATACCTCATTATAGATATGCAAATATTCCAAAATCTCAGAGGGAGGGGGGCATCCTTCTGGTTTCAAGAATTTTGGATAAGAGATTCTCAGCCTGCATTTAAAAACTAAAACTAGCATGAGAAACTAAAATAAGACTTGGGTAGCCTTGACATCCTTGGGTGCCTCCCATCCTGGCCACCATTGTAGCTGATCTCCTAGGATCACCCATTAAAAGGCTTTTGCCGCTAGCCATGATACGGGCCTACATGTACCGTACCTCCCCTTTGGTTGATTCCTGTGGATGAAAACCAGACACATAGTTAAACTGCGGAATTTACTGCTATAGTATGCAGTTATTTATAGCTGCCAGCTTAGATGGCTTTAAAAAATGCACCAATTCTGGGCATCACAATTTAAGAGAGATATTGACAAGCTGGAACGTATCTGGAAAACCAAATGTCTGGAAAATGAGCAAAAGCCTGGAAACTATGCCCTATGAGGAGCGACTTAAAGAGCTGTGTACGTTTAGCCTGCAGAAGAGAAAGTTGAGAAGAGACGTGATAGCTATGTTTAAATGTTTGAAGAGGGAGTAGGCTTTTCTGCTGCTCTGGAGACTAGAGACAGTGCTATGAGTTGAAATTCTAGGAAAGGAGATTGCACCTGAACATTAGAAAGGACTTCTAGACCATGAGATCCGTTCAGCCATGAAGTTCTCTGCCTTGGAGTGTGGTGGAAGTCCCGTCTTTGGAGGCTTTTAAACAGAGGTTGGATGGTTATCTGTTGGGGTTGCTTTGATTGTGCTTTTCCTGAATGGCAGGGGATTGGACTAGATGACCTATGTTGTCTCTTCCAACTCTATGATTCTATGTTTCTAAAGACTGTGATTCTAAGTCAGTGAAGGTTGTCACCATCAGTAGCTTCTAGTCAGGATAGCTGTATGTCACTTGATATATTAGAGGGACTGTGTCTGCATATCACCTGTTGGTGCACATGAGACACGTCATGGTTGCACTCATCACCTGCTCCTGGGCTTACTATTGGCACGTTATGGTCCATGGTGGGAATGCTGCATTAGATGAGCTCTTTGTGTGATCCAGCGTTGCTGTTTTGTGCATCATGTAAGATTGATTTCATACTTTATATACTCTGCATATTGAGGTCTTTTTGGTCATTTGCTGATGTTTATCTTTTATTATGGATTCGTTAAATTAATAGACTTAAATGAATCTAAGGCATGTATGTCCTTCTTATCAGCCACTCCCTTTTATTCTCAAAAGAACAATCCTCTAAAATAAGTTAGGCTGACCAGAAGAATGACTCACCGTTGGAAGACAGTGGAGACTTGAACCTGGGTCTTCCAAGTCCCAGTCCAATACTTTGACTTATCTCTCTGTGTTGTTGAGGACTCTAGGGTCTATTGTTTCCATGCTCTTTCTCCTCTTTGCAGATTTGCAACCTTATCCCAGCTAGCAATGAAATGGATTTCTCAGAGTGCATTTTTCATCTTTGCGTGCCCTTTTGTGGAAACAGGCTCTCTGACCTCAGTGAAATGGAAGAGATCAGCAACGGTGCCAAATACCCATGTTCTTTTTGAACTGTCCTTAGACTCCCAGATCCACTTCAATGGTTGCTCAATATTGAGCTGCTTCAGTAGTTCCTTACAACTTCAGGATTTTTTTTCACTTAGATCAAAGTATACTTTGGTGTTATATCCCTGACAGCTATATTAGTGTATGGTCCAGTGTCACTTGTGCTCCACTGAGTGTCACATAAGTTCCTTTGACAATGAGCAGTACCCACAGAGTCACAGTTTTGGGTCAGGTAGCAATGGGCGGAAGCGGATTCAGGAAACATACCTTGTGTCTTGCCTGAGGCATAATTGTTCAGGGTTGTTCTCAGAGGTACAGTCAGAAAATCCAGATTTTATTCCCTTCTTGTGTTTCACAAGTTACTGCTTTATGAAGTTTTTCCATTTAATTGCATTATCCACTTGTTATTTGCCAGCTGGTTTGTTTGTTTGTTTTCTTTTTTCTTTTTTTACTTTCCCTGCTATTTTTTTATTGCTCCCATATTTCTTTCCCCCTGGGTTATGTCAGTGAATACAGGTATACAGTACAGCCCTCATATCCATGAGGAATATATTTCTGAATTTGCCACAGAAACAGGAATGGCAAACAAAGCAAACGTGTAACACTGATTCTCCTCCTGGTGGGAATGTTTTCTGTGGCACCATGTTCAGAGATCAGGACAAAATATTAGGTGTACAGAATTCACCTACCTTGATTCTCGTTGGTTTTAAAGCAATGTTCCTGGTAGTTTTTGATGTGAAAAGTAGATTTCAAAATGTGCAGCCCGGAAGTGAAGGATGTCCCTCATAAGGATTTTCACGGGTCAAAAGGAAGGGTTTCTGTGCCATGCTTAGCTAGTCCCAATTTTTAGCAAAAAACAATACTGCTGAATAAACTAGCAATAATGTGTTGCCCTTGATTTGCTTAGAGTAGACTATGCGATGCATAACATGAGATTTGGGAATAATCTGTATTTTTACATTATTTGCACATATTGATCAATTGAATGAATAAATGAATTTGCCCTATTTGTATTGTTTACACACAAAAAATCAGTCATGCTACATTAGGTCTCCTTCACAACACAACCAGAATAATATTCTTGTTGATTTCTTCATAATATGATGTTATGGGATCAAAACCTGGGCCATTGCATGCTTTCCTTGTCTGAACAAAGTGCATAAGTATTTCAAAGCATGTTGGTTCTTTCTCTTTTGTGTAGCTTGAAATTACGGCAAATAATACAAACTGCAGCTGTCTGTATACTTATATTTAAACATGTTGGTATTTACACATACATATTTCAGATGCACTTCTTATTTAGAATACCTGTGGGGGTATGCGATTAACCAACTCCCCTTTGCTTTTTGCAGATAAAAATGTTTTGGGACAATTGAGTAAAGGTGTCTATGTATTGATGAGTGGCTTGGATCTGGAAAGACTCGTATTGTCTGCTGGACCTCTAGGGTAAGTGCGTATTTATTTGTGTACTGGCAAATCCTTTCATATTTTCATCAGTTGCATCCATAGTCATCCCTCCATATTTGTGGAGGTTAGGTGCTCAGAATCCCACACCACACAAGTGAAACAACCATGGATATTTCTAGATTTACACCCCCCCCCCCCCCAATGCATTTAATACAAAAGAATGCACACAGATCATTTGTTACCCCATCTGCTGCTGCCTTATACTATTTTTAATAGGGTCTACAGTAGCACAATTGTCTATCTTGAGCTGCACATTCCCTTGCTCGGTCACTGGGGCAAATGGGGAGAAAAGGATAGGACAGATAGGGAACAAGAGGAGGGAGAACAGGTGATATGTGGGTCTCTGAGGAGGGAGCAGGGAAGGATGGTGATACCAGAAGGGAGGAGAGAGCTGAGGCAGGTGGGCAGGGTGGTGATGCTGGGTGGTGGGCATGGGCAATGGGAAGGAGTTGCAGCATCTGCTCTTATGGCAGAGTTGGAGTCTAATAGGGACTTTTAAGTCTAACCTCACATTAAGCCCAGACCTACAGGCTAAAAACCTTTTTATTCAGACAGGTTTTTAAAGAAGACGGTTTTTAACATGTCAGGGACTGCTGTGGTTTTTTATGTTTTTATAAATTTAATCTAAATTGTTTTTAATCGTAATGATGTTAAATACTGTTTTAATATTTGTATATTTGTGTATTTTAAATTGATTGTAAAGCTTTTAATGTGAGCGACTTTAAGTCTCCTTATGGAGAGAAAAAGTGGGATATAAATAAAACAACAACAACAACAATAATGAGGCTGCTGCTGTAAGAGCAATTGCCAGTCTTTTCCCACTGCAGCCATTCTGACTGCCTCTCCCAGCACTCTCCTCTTCCGCACTTGCTGCCCTGTTCTTTCCCACATGCTACCTACCCTTCTCCTCCTCTCTTCCCATCCCTTCTCCACCACCTCCTTCTCCACAAGTGAGTGAGCAGGGAATGTGCAAACAGCCAGGCCCAGCCACTCTGTCACTTTGATTTTCTATCAGCAACCAAAGATTTGACCACTGACTGGTCTTGACTGAACTGAATACAGTTCAAGGTGGACACCAGTGTTATCAAAGTATCTATTTCAGATGGCATAGGGCAGCTGCAGAGGTGAGGGCAAATAATCTATGAATCCCTGGAGGTTTAACCCACAAATTTGGAGGCACGATTATCATTCTTTGACAATATGCCTGTGTTGATTTTAAAGGGAAATAATTCTGACTGGAATGGAAGATTGCAGTTGGATTTTTTCCTTCTCTTAATGTCATTTGGAAAAAAATTGTACTTAAAACAGTTGACAAGAAATGTAGAATCCAAGCATGTTCATACAACCTGTGATCCTCAAGCAATTGTCTTCAAAAATGCATAGAACGACAATCAATATTTCTATGTCAGTGAGGAGCTCATCTTTATCTCGGCATGGACGCGGTACTCTAGGCAATCAAGACAGTTTGAAAATGAATCCCATCATTATGTTAATGTCAGCAGTTGGATGAATAATCCCTACGCTGGTGTAGCAGTTTGTACTTTCAGAGTTACTTCTTGTTTAAATTCTTACTTAATTACATACTTACCTCTTACAGAGGTAATGCAAGGAGCTACTGAGTATATCCAGTGTTTCTAAATAGAGGCAGTGGCTTGATTCTGAAGTAAAGGTAAAGAATGGTTTATTGTTTCCTTGCTACCTCAGAACTTTCACTTGCACTTTATATTTAACAGCAGTGAAGTTTTATTTGTGAACCCCAAGCTGTGTTTAAGCTTACTGTTGTTATGTGCCTTCAGTTTGACTGTGACTTACGGAGACTCATCACTCATTGTGCTATACCTCACTGTCTCTTGATTAATCTTAATTATTTATTAGTTAAAGCAAACTGAGTTTATCAGCAATGATTTGAAATTAGTTCAGGTTCAAACAAAAAGCTTAAGTGGGTTAGTCTAAAGTAGAAATAAGACGTCTGATCTCCTCCTGGATACTTTAGAGGGCTCACTGTGACTTGTTCTCATGATGATAAACCCTTGTTAATCTCAGGGAGGCCAATCAATTGTATTAGCAGTACCCTGCTGCTAGTACTTTGATGTTTCTGACTATCGTATTTTTAAAAGTGCTTCATTGCATTACAATGCAATTTAAGGAGTTCAGCAGTAGGAAAAAATACATTTTCCAGTGGTGATTTTCATGCTTTATTGTCTCTGAAATGATCTCTAAAAATGACATCGTTTTTGTGAGACCAACAGAACAGCAGCTCGCAGATAACACAGAGTGTACATTCAGGCCTCCACATGCTGGAGTTCGGGGCCAAAGTGAAAAACCATGATTTTTTAAAAGGTATACTTTTATCTGAAAAACACCTTTCTAGGAATACCAGAGGCCCTGGTGGCACAGCGGGTTAAACTGCTGAGCTGCAGAACTTGCTGAGCGAAAGGTCAGCTGTTTGAATCCAGGGAGCGGGGTGAGCTCCTGCTGTTAGCCTCAGCTTCTGCCAACCAGGAAAAAAAACATGCAAATGTGAGTAGATCAGTAGGTACCACTCCAGCGGGAAGGTAACAGCACTCCATGCCGTCATGCTGACCACATGACCTTGGAGGCGTCTACGGACAGCACTAGGTCTTAGCCTTTTAAATGGAGATGAGCACAACCCCCCAGAGTCGGACACGACTAGACTTAATGTCAAAGGGAAACCTTTACCTTTTAGGAATGCCTAACTTCTCCAACCTGACTCTGGTCATCTTCCACTGGACAGTGGCCATACAATTGCATTGGATGACCTAGAGATTTCTAGAGCAGTGTTCTCTCCAGTAATCTCTGATTCCTCCAGCATGACTATGATTGTCTGGCAGAAGTTGCAGTGGAGGACTTACAGATTCCAAAAGAGAACATTTCAATCAAATCGGTGAATAATCAAATCCACAAAAGTCATATTCATGAATTTGGAAGGCTGGCTGTAGTTTTTAAATGCCATAATTCCCTTTCTTCAGATTTGGGCTTTGGGCTGTTCTAAGAGCCCTGAATTGTAAACCTGACTATTTTCCAAGTAAAGTACTGCAATACAATTGTAGATGAGATATTAAATAAGATAAATCTACATTACTGTTGGATTTCACAAGTTTTCTTTCCTTCAAATACTCCTGAATGCTTACTTGAAGATGTATTTATTTATTTATTTATTTATTACTGCGCTTGTATACCGCTGTTTCTCAGCCTAAATTGGCGACTCAACGCGGTTTACAACACTACAACAATCAACAATATTCAATTTAAAAAGCATAAAAAACACAGACACAGTACACAGTATTGGGCCACCAATAACAATCCAATGCATCTCTTAACTAAAATCGCAATCCAATTTCATCGTCTGTGATTACCAGTCCTTTGATCATCAAATTCATTGCACCGGATTAACCGAATGCTTGTTTGAACATCCATGTCTTCAATCTTTTTCGAAACACCATCAGCGAGGGGGCTGATCTTACCTCTATGGGGAGGGCATTCCAAAGCCGAGGGGCCACCACAGAAAAGGCCCTGTCTCTCGTCCCCGCCAGCCGCACCTGTGAAGCAGGCGGGATAGAGAGCAGGGCCTCCCCAGAAGATCTTAGGGTCCTGGTGGGCTGATAGGCCGAGATACGTTCGGATAGATAAGTTGGGCCAGAACCGTTTAGGGCTTTAAAGGCCAACGCCAGCACTTTGAATTGAGCCCGGTAGCATATCGGCAGCCAGTGGAGCTGGTGCAGCAGAGGAGTTGTATGCTCCCTGCGCCCCGCTCCTGTTAGTATCATGGCTGTTAGTATCATGTTAGTATCATGTAGGATATAGTTAATTATGTTTTCAGGGCCAGGACATCCTTGTTTATTTAAAGAGTAGACAGCCAGCGTGATGTAATACTTCGAGCATTGGGCTATGATTCTGGAGCGATAGGGTGTCTCCAGAATTATAGAAACCCATGGGATGACATTGGATGAGTCACACACACTCAGCCACAAAAATCCTGTGATGGGGTCACCTTAGGGCCCCATAAATTGACTTGAAGGTATTCAACAACAACAACAAAATAAACTAGAGTTAATTTTTTGGGGTTTTTTTAAAACTTAATCTATACTAAAGTAGCTTAGCAGGGCCAAAATTGTGGCATAATTACAAGGCAGGGGAATGATATATTCTTTTTAAAAGTTAAATAGCGAAAGGCCTCAAAATGGCTTGTGGGGGGGGGGGGTTTGCGTGGTATCTATTTGCAAGATGCTGTTGTGGTTTTTACTGCCTTTTCCGTTTCTTGGTTTTCATGATTGTATGTTTCTTTTATGGTCATATTGTTTTCCTTTTTCTTGTAGTTGAACATTTAAAATAAAAAGAGTGTCTCCCTTTCAGGATCATGCAGGCTGTACTAGACAATGCTGTTCCATATATGCATGTGAGAGAAGCCTTTGGGCAGAAAATTGGCCAGTTCCAGGTAAGAGGGGTTAAAAGGTTGCTAAAAAAAGTAGAGCATCCTTTCATAGGACTAAAACATATTTGCTTTCCAATTGTATTCTATCCAGAAAGTATTTTAGATTAATCTCTGCTTCATAGATGTGATTATGTTTGTTTTTCAATACCAAAGGAGCCTCCCCTCCCTTTAATTGGTGAGTGGCCATAATTTTGAGAAACTGCAATTCTTCTGGTGTGAGAGAATTGGCTGTCTGTAAGGACGTTACCCAGGGGCCGCCCAGATGTTTTGATGTTTTCCCATCCTTGTGGGAGGCTTCTCTCATGTCCCCACATGGTGAGCAAGAGCTGACAGAGGGAGCTCATCCACACTCTCCCTGGATTCGAACCTGTGACCTGACGGTCTTCAGTCCTGCCGACACAAGGGTTTAACCCATTGCACCACCGGGGGTTCGACCATAAATTGACAGGAAAATAAATTAATATGGCTAGGACTTCCGGGTATGTCCACATTGTTGACAGCCCTAACCTAATGACCAAAGAGCTGCGTGTGAGACATTGTTTTGAATTACAAATCCCAGAGTCTCTCAGCTAGGATGAACCATGGCCATGCTTGTTGGAGGATAATGGAGTTGTCATTTAAAAAAACCTATTCTCTGAGTAAACCTAACTTCTTGGGTTGCTATGTATCTCCACAAAGTTAATATGCATGTATGAACATAGTGCTTCCCAAAAAACACACAAGAATAGATGTGCATACAGAGAGGTCAATTTTTTAGTGTCTGAGGCCAAACCATATAATATCCCTGTTAAAAATTACTCTTTTAGTTCTATATGTTGAGACACATGAGATACAAAGGAAAAAAACAGGTTTTCACAAAACGTATAGAACCACTGCCATTTTTTTTCCTGTATGAACATATGGTTAGTTCATTCTAGATTAAATAAAAATCCTAACAGCTGCAAAGAATTCCATTTCTCACTTTAGTCTTCCCACTTCCTCAAATTCACTCTTAAGTAGGCTTAGGCTTTATTTTGTTTCCTTAAGAAACCAGATTTGGCCTCAGTCATTCATGTCCTAATCATTTCCAGATTAGATTACTCAGTTACTCTAATGCCTACTGTGAGATTGCCTTTTAAAGACAATTTGGAAATTAAGGTTGTCTCAGAACAAGGCTGCCATTATGTTAAACTTTCTTAAGCTTAAATGTTGATACTTATTATCAGTCGCATGGCTAGGCAGTTTTTTTCTGGCTGCAACTTGGAGTGTTGGTTTGACCTAATTTTGAAAGGTGTGAGACCAGAAATTCTTTATGTTCTGCTTCCATATGAACCTGTGATTACTTTGAGATCTTCCAGTGCCTCTCTGCTGTCTGGAACGTTGCCAGATAGAGAAAGGGAAAGGGGTTTTTTTTTTTCCTGTGGCGACACTAAAATGCTCAAAGGCCTCACCAGAGGAATTGTGGCTAGCTGTATTGTCATTCATCTTTTAATGGGCAGCCACTTGGGTATGGTGGTCATTGTTATGAAGAACTCCCAATTGTTGCTATGCCAATTTGAAAAACGGTGTGTGGTTTTATGCTGTTCAGTGGACCCTCCATATCTGCAGGCTCTAGATCTGCAGATCCAGCGAAGTGCAGATGAAAAATAATATTAAAAATCCAAATATTCAGGAAAAAAATAAAATGTAGCATTTTGAAAAAGTGGTGGGTTGGGAAAGTGGGATCTCATGTGTGGTAGTTGCCTTGGGGTGCATGAGAGGAAGACAGCAAGAGAGAGCAAGAGGGGGAACTGCTTGTCGGGCTGTGTGGAAAAGAGGCTGGGCAGTTGCACTCAAGACACACATGAGAGATGACTAGGTGGAATAGATTGCTGAATCCATCCAGAGTTCCTTTATATAAAAAACTTCACCATGCACATTTTTGATATCCCTAGGAGGTCTTAGAATCAATTCTCCTTCAGATATGGAAGGCCTAGTGCAATAAGTACCGTATTTACCTGAGTCTAATGCACCATTGAATCTAATGTGCACCTCCATTTTCAAAACCCTGAAAGCAAAAAAAGTATTTGCTGACAAATGTAATGTGCAAAAAGCAACAAAAAGTGAACTCTTTGTATTTTAGAACACCAAAGCTTCCAGTAATGGAAAAGAAAACTTTGGGATGCATCTAGGCTGTAGAATGAATCAACTTTAATTGCCTTGGTTCAGTGCTATGGAATCAGGGGGCTGTAGTTTTACAAGGTCTTGAACCCATCTGCCAAAGGATGCTGATGCCTCACCAAACTACAAATCCCAGGATTGCATAGCATTGAGCTGTGGGAATTAAATTAGCGATGACATCCCTCAGAGAGGAGCTTCAAGTGCAGCTTCTAAAGCAGCTTCCCCATTTGCTTTGGCTCAGCAGTAAGATTGTGTTACATGAATCTAATATGCACCTTAATTTTGGAAAGGTAATTTAGCCAAAAAAGGTGAGCATTATATTTAAATAAATAGGGTAATTTTAACATGGCTATTTGGGTTCAGTTTTTTCTACATATTTGTTTTATCATGACTCATTAGAAAAGAAAGTGATGCTTAATAAGATGGAAGGCAGTGGAAGTTAGTGGGAAAAGAGGAAGACCACATTCCAGATTGGTGGACTCAATCAAGGAAGCTACAATCCTGAGTTTGCAAGATCTGAGTAGAGCTTTTGACTTGGGGGTCTCTCATTCATACAGTTAGAATTTACTATCAGCATTTAATCAGTTAACAACAATAATAAAATTGAATTTATTATTCTTTTAATTTATTATTTATTTCTTCATATTTTTATTGAAAAGGGGGGCTTAAAATATTGACAGTCAATTATTATATTCTACTTTCTTTCTCCCTACCATTACTACTGTTGTGTTTAGCTCATGCAGGGCAAAATGGCTGATATGTACACACGGCTGATGTCATGTAGACAGTACGTATACAACGTGGCAAGGGCCTGTGATCGAGGACACTTTAATGCAAAGGTGAGTTCATAGGTGGAAGATTATCATATTTCATGTTCTTTTTAGGGATCCCTGTACTGTACTTTGTGTATTAGAGAGGTGAGGTGAGTAAAGCTTCCCCCCCCCCCCACCTATAGCAGTGAGATTTTTTTTAGATGAAGCACATTAAATTGCCAATATTTTTACCATATTTACAATATTATTAAAAATAGCTCCTGTTCTCGCTTATAACATGCACATCACTAGAACATATATTCTGAAGATTGTATTGTAGTTTTTGTAATGGTTGGAGGTGACTGGGAAAGAGTTGCAGAGTTTAGCTGGCCATAATAAAGACCTTGTCATAGAAAAACAGTTTTTAATTTCTCTGGAAGCATTATATGAATTTCATATTATTTGTAGTTGTATGAGAGCCAAACCTAAATGATTCAACTGATTATAAGAGTGAATAAAAGTGTTGTTCATCCTACTTGAAAATTTGACTTTAGTGTTCATGCTCTGGTCTCTTCCATCAGGATTGCGCTGGTGTGATTCTCTACTCTGCGGAATGTGCTACTCAAGTTGCTTTGGATGGAATCCAATGTCTAGGTAAGATGTGGGTGATATTTGCAAAGACAAAAGTAAACTATAATTATTATTATCCTGTCTCAGTCCATGATTGGTACATTATGTGTGAATCCCATTTCAATTATTTGTGTTTAAATATTCCTGCAAATTCCCTATCCCATCTTCTTGGAAATCTAAGTCTCCTCTTTATCTTGCAGGTGGAAATGGCTATATCAATGACTACCCCATGGGTCGCTTTTTGCGTGATGCCAAACTGTATGAAATCGGGGCAGGAACCAGTGAAGTACGGAGAATCGTTATTGGCCGGGCATTCAATGCTGCCTTTAAGTAATAGTCACCATTAAAGAAGAATCACACTTTTAATGCCAGAGGCCTTCAGTTTCCAAGACTAAAGCGCACAAGTATTTTTCTGCACTTCATATCAAAATGACAACCTCTCTGTTTTGTTCTTGTGCTTTCTTCTCTGAATGCTTCTAGATTTTTCATAAGAACATATGATTGTGGAACAGGGCAAGCCATCCAGATGGAATGAAATTTAGTCAAGTCTTCTTAAAAAAAATCCAACCTGTCTTGAGAAGTGTCATGGATTCCCATTTCCAATATGCTGCTTTTGGTGGATGGGATTAGCAGCATTCCAAAATACTAGCTGATTTCACAGGCCTCTGTCTTTGTTATTGGATATGTTGAGATCTTAACTACACAAGGAATGTTAGAGCTGCTAAAAGATTCTTAGAAAGTGAGGTATCGTATTCCTGTGTGTTCCTGTTCTCGCCTAATGCTTCCTGATGTGTATTAGTGCCATGTGAATCCTCCATTCATTTGATGGACTGCCATCTTGTGCTTGATTCATGTGTTGATGTCACCATCTATCATTGCGCAAGCAGTTAAAATGTCAAAAAGCCACTCTGTGCCAGCCAAGAGTCAATTGGGAAGGAGGAAGTGGCAACTAGATTGGGAATATAGGATCCTTTTATAAATCTTTCCCCGCTGAATATTGAGACAAATCCACCTTGCTTTATCGGGCAAGAAGGAAGGAGAGCACATTATGGGAGAAGGAGTGAGAGATCTAACAGGAATTCAGACTTACTGATAACATCTCATGAAGATTGGAGGTGTGAATTTGTTTGTGTATAGTAAGCAGCACTTTACAATTTTGCATATGCAAAATGCTTAAATTCATTAGAGTGTAAATAGTCATCACCAGTGGCTTGATGCTTACTTTTAGCGTCCAGCACTGGGAATTGCAAATGTGAATAGATCATTAGGTACCGCTCCGGCGGGAAAGTAACAGCACTCCATGCAGTCATGCCAGCCACACAACCTTGGAGGTGTCTTCGGACAATGTCGGCTCTTCAGCTTAGAAATGGAGATGAGCACCAACCCCCAGAGTTGGACACAACTGGACTTAATGTTAGGGGAAAACCTTTACCTTTACCTACTGGAGATTGAAATGCCTTGAGCTTTTAGGCTGGGGTGAGCAACTACCACTGGGAATGGGGGAGGGGGGGTGTCCCACACTGTCCTTCTAGCTGTTCCATTTTTTCCTATATGACTGGAAGTGGTATCAGTTCTGGGTCCATTATTTGAGTAAAATATGTTTGATTTTTAGCTCTTAGCCACAGCTATGTGTAATACAGTGACCCAAAATGTCATATTTTGTTGTGGAGTTTTTTTACCATAAAGATTTGGTTGAATGTTTATTCTTAATTGGGGCGTGGTCTTCTAGAGGATAGAAAACAGACTTTTGGTGTTTTTATGTAGCCTATGGACTGCACTTTTCCTACTGCTGATCAAGGCTAGTCTCATTCTGCCACTTTTTCAGGATAGGAAAGGTAGAAATTGGCAGAGAAAACAGTAACTAGAAGGGGTCACCATAGTTGGAACACAGTGGGTTTATGTCATAATTCTTATATTCAGATTACCTGAAGTTGTAATTTTATTTGTGGGATATAATTATATAACCAGAGTTGTACAAATCAGATTGAAGTCCTACACCAAATGAAGGCTTCCAGTTAGATCTGCTCACATCATTACTGTTCATTCTGCTTTATCTAGCACAGGCATGGGAAAACTTAAGCACTTAAGCAGCTGAGGGGGAAAAGGAAAGGGCCTGAGGCTGTTAGGAATTGTGCAAAGTCCAAAACACCCAGAGGGCCAAAGTTTGCCCATGTCTGATCTAGCAGATTGATGTCACTTACTGAATGATTTTGAAATGGGCAGTGCAAGTTTCAGAGTGTCAGAAGCAGAGAAAGGCATTAGGTGCTGTGTACTATGCCATCACTGCCCCTAGTTCGAGCAAATGGTACCAATATTTCATGGCAAGACAGTGTGTCCAATGGGGAAAATTCTTTATTTTTCTAGATTCCATCCAGCCCCTACTCTCCCCTATCAATTTAGAATTCACTTTAATGTTTTACTACCTGCATCCACTCCAAATTTGTCATATGGTCACATGCCCATAAATAGAAGTGGTGAGATCCACTTCATTCCAATCATATAAGAAACAGCAGACTTCTGTCTCATTTTTGTAAAGTATTAGTCTAAGTAAAGGTCTCCTTGGGGAAAAGTCACTAGTGACAAAACCATTACTCAGAGATACAGAAATGAGCAGATATTTTTAAAATGCAAGAAATGTCATCTTTTAAATAGATTTTATACCCCCACACATGCACGTTTAAGTGTGAGAATGACAGTGTTCCTTAAAAATCATGAAATGCAGTAGTATTCCTGATGGCTTTTATCACTTACCTTAAGGCAGAGCACCAGTGAAGTACATGTGAAAACTAGATTATTCTGGGGTCTGTAACATACATCTTGAAACAGAGCATTCAGGGCCACCTGTGGCTTGTCATCTGAGACTGAAACACTTGTTCTTAACTGAAAAATTGGGTAAGGAATGTATAATTTTTGAAGAAGATTGTCAACCAAACTCATTATGATGAATATTTTAAATGATTTATTTAACAAGTTCTTCTTAGTCTTTTAAGAGTCTGTTGTGCTACCAAAACATGGGAAAGTTGCTGGGTAACATGATTTTATTGCTATACAAATAAAATACCTATTCTTTACTATCGCGTCAGCTGTTAACATGTTCCATTTTGCCCAGCAGGAGGCAGGTAGAAACTTCATATGCTTCTAAACATTACATCACCACAGCCAGACTCTTCCCAAACAGCACATCCTGTGTGGGTGAAGCTGTTGGCATGAGCGGATGCCTTTCAAACTGCATTACTCCTTCCTTCAGCCTTGTCTTCCTTTTGTTAAGTGTTCCCAATGCATGGACAAATTATTGAGACATTTGGTCACAGACAAATTACAACAGATAGAAATCATATAAAATCACAAGTATATTATTCTGCATGGGTAATAGACCTCTTGCTAAACATACCTTTCGTTTATTGCTGATCTTAATTGAATTATTATGCTGTTTTTGAGTTCTGTTTGGATTTTATATTTGTATTGTACATTTCCTTTAGAGAAACAGTAATAATTCACAGAAATACATACATACAGTGTTACCCTATCCAGATATACTATTGGTCTATGATGATTCTTTATAATTCACTGTGTTTGAGAAGAATACATACATAGGACAGGCAGAATGTTTTAAAATTTAGTTTGGTGCAAGCATTTTGTTGGGTTTGGATTCCAATGCACGATCTACCACAGATTAGAGATTATTTTTTCTGGCTCTCAAAACTTTCTCTGTAGAAAGAGGATATTAATAATCTATCATATAAGGAGATCCCTTACTTATCACTGAGGTTTAAATTACAACTTCATGCAAGGATTGCAAACTGTCATCAGGAGCTAGATGTTCCACTGGCATAAATTATTTTTCATTCCTCTACTATGTAAACACTAAACAGCACAGAGGCATCACAGGCTGACAGCACGAAAAGCTTGTCATATGCAAAGGGCCAGTTTCAAGAACTGTCCACAAATCCCTCAAGATATTCCTCAAAATAGGGGGAATATGTGAATATGTGACCATCTAGATCAGGCCTGCACAATCTGTGGCCCTCCAGGTGTTTTGGACTTCAGCTCCCAGAATTCCTGGCCATTGGCAAGATGCTGGGGCTTCTGGGAGTTGGAATCTCAAATGCCTAGAAGGCCACAGGTTATGCAGACCTGTTCTAGTTGCACTTCAATGGTACCTTTCATCATTCTTCATGACTGGCTAGGCTGATGAGAGTTGCAGTCCAACATATTTCAAGGCAAAATTGGGGTGAAGCTTCACTGCCTGAGTTCAAACACTTTCCATCCTTCTCATTAAATGACATTCTGTCCTATTCTGATGGGCTCTTCATATGTTGTGTCACTTCCCATTCAAAGAGCATGATGTAGCAACAGCATTATTGCCATGAAGTAGAATTGGAAAGAATGCCTCTGTTGCACCCCCTGCAGGTATGTGTTGGTTTATGCTGGCTTGTTTTGAAATTTTGTTGTTTTCTTTCCTTGGGCTCATTTCCCTGATGAGAGTTTTGCTGAACCACTTATAAGCAGAAATTACACCCCTTTGCGATAACAAATCTCAGTCCCTTCAAGGAGGAAACAGTGCAGAAATGATAGGCCCACTGCAATGTTTTCATCTGCCCAGAATCTTAACAGGAAAGAACATTCAGACATTGAAGAAATGTCTAGATGCTGTTCCATGTTAAGATTCTATGTATATTCCATGTTAAGATTCTGTGTACGTTCTGACAGTATATGCTCCACCGCAGTATTTTCAAATATTTTTCTTTTACACTACATGCCGAATCTAGGGAAAAATCAATGTAAGTAAAGCATGTCACTAATTACTCAGGCAGAAGCCCCTTTTAAACAAACTATGTTAAAAATTAACAAAATCTGAATAGGTGCCATCTTAGAAAAGCAATTCCTTCTTTGCTGTACAGATGTCTCTGGAAATTGTGCCTCTTGTGATGTTCCTTTAGAAAGGTAAGAAATCCTGTTTCACTTTATGTACTGTACAACACACTTGTTTTATAGTATAGCTACCACAATAATTAGAAACCATAGAGAATGGGCAAATCTATGTTACCTGTTCCTGGCACGATGGTGGGTTGCCTGTCCCTTGTCATAGGACCATGAGGTGGCAAATGAGTGTGTTGGCCCCCAAAGTAAGAGTTCTGTCTCCATCAGGAAATTTTCCTTCAGTCCTCCAAGTGCATACTGCTGCAGTCACTTAAAATTTCAATCAAGTTTTGAGAAATAATATAGGTATCTAAAGAAAAGGGGCAAAGTGAGTAAAGGCATGCAAGCACAGCAATATATGAGTTCTATGTGAGCATTTTTCAATGTTTCACTCAGTATTTCTAGAAATGTGCGTATGGAAAGAATGTCACAAGAGGAGCAGAATCTACACACAAACGCACACAATTGCTTTAGTCCTGCCATTCCCCCAAATAAATGCTGGAAAGGAGATTTACTTTCAAGGATGCTTATCTGCTTTTAAACAGGTGCTAAAGACGGGGGTGTATGTCTATGTGCCAGAAAGAAGTCTGCTGTTTTTTAAAATCTTGCTTTCATAAGGCCATTTGATTACTCTCTTTTATTGATACGGTCTTTAAACTTAAATTTTTCCTTGTACTGTAAATCATTTTGAGTTATCACAGAAAAATGAAATATAAATGCCCCAGAGGGATAAAAATTAGTGACGTGTTCCCAAATGTGTAGTCTAACACCTTACAAACATTGAATTTGCAAACATGTTTTTTTTTTCCTGAAGTATATAATTGTTGCTTCCAAAGTGGCAGACCTATGGTTACTATTTGAACTTAGTTGTGCTACTCTGCATTATGTTTGTGTCATCAACGTGTGATGACTGTTTGAACACCGCGGTGTCTGGAGAGAGAGCTGCTGTGCAAGTCAACCGTTCTCCTTGCCTCCACCCTTTCTGTGCAGAAGCAGGCGTTTTCTCATGTTCGGCAATGTGCCTGCAGAGTCCTGCGGTTTGACAACAGTGGCAGGCACTGCCCTTTCTGAGGAATTGCGGCACAGAAAGATTAGGAATCGTTTTCACTCCAGTATAAAGGAATTAACAACTGTGAAGGGAAAACAAAAACATCCTTCAGCAAAGCAGACAACATAGTGGGGGTGGCAAAGGGAGTGAGGATTACTGTTCACAGAGCTGGGCTCTCTCCGCCTGCACCTGCTGTTTAGTGAAAGGCGAACGCTGAGGCCCAGTTGTCAGCCTGAATTGGGGGGGGGGGGGGGGGGGGCGCTCTGAACAGCACTTCAGCCAAAGGCACGGTAGGCGTCCCACCCACTGTCCACCCATGCTGGGCATGAAGCATTGGGGGGGGGGAGGTTGGTGCAGCATGGAGAGACAAAGGTCTGCTGGGTGAGGTGCCTGATGACTTCAAACATTTGATTCTTAAGCGTCAAGCAACCAGTAGGTGAAGCATTTGCTGAAAAATTTATTGGCGCAGTGAAAAAGTGGCAGGGAAGTTGGAAGATTAAACTAAATTTCTAAGCAAGCACCATCTCAAGTGAGCTCCTTGGGTGACCTTAATGGCAGAAAAACAATACATGTATTCTGACAGATGCAAGGGCAAAAACCTGGCTGACTATAAATCACAATGTTCTCAATTCAAATCTCCTATCTTCCATGCACTCAGTAGAAAATGTGTAAGGAGCCATGTTTGTCCCTGGCAGGAGGCAGGCAAGGAGGCCTCTAATACCTGAGTGGAATTAAAACCAGCATAAGGACTAACTACAAATCTTCACTCACTATTTGCAATATGTGAATAATACAAAAATATATGACAAGGATGTTGAGGGGGGGGGGGAAATCACATTTTCAGAACTTTATTTTTTTTTGAGGTACAACTTCCAGAATCCGCTGCAACCCAGAAAGTTGCTTTTACAAGTTCTGGTAAGGCTGACACAAAATAATGTACCTGACTTCTTTGAACACAGATGCTGTACAAAAGCTTAAGAGAGAAATAATTAAATGATGCCACCCCATAGTTTGGGCATATGATTCTACTATTTGTTGTTGAAGGCTTTCATGGCCGGAATCACTGGGTTGCTGTGGGTTTTCTGTGCTGTATGGCCATGTTCCAGAAGCATTCTCTCCTGACATTTTGCCCACATCTATGGCAGGCATCCTCAGATGTTGTGAGGTCTGTTGGAAACTAGGCAAGTGAGGTTTATATATCTGTGGAATGTCCAGGGTGGGAGAAAGAACTCTTGCCTGCTTGAGGCAAGTGTGAATGTTGCAATTGGCCACTTGATTAGCATTTAATGGCCTTACAGCTTCAAAGACTGACTGATTCCTGCCTGGGGGAATCCTTTGTTGCGAGGTGTTCGCTGGCCCTGATTGTTTCATGGGCATTCCACAGATACATAAACCTCACTTGTCTAGTTTCCAACAGGCCTCACAACTTCTGAGGATGCCTGCCACAGATGTGGGTGAAACATCAGGAGAGAATGCTTCTGAAACATGGCCATAAAGACCGGAAAACTCACTATTGTTGGTTATAGAATAAATGAGATGATATTCCATAGCTCCATAAGAATGAGTCCGAGGGATTGATATCATGGAAACATGCTTTACATCTACATTCTGTTTTGCCAGGACTGCATGAATTATTGAAAAACTGGGGTTTCCAAAAACCATAATACATCCGAAATACTAGCATCAGTTCAGCTGACAAAATTGCAAGACGAAGCTCAGAATCACTGATTTTTGGTAAATCATTAGAGAATAGGGTATAAAGCAAAAATGTTCAGCTTTACTTAAACAGTATATTTATATCCCATATCACTTTATTGTGTCTTGTTAAATAGATATAAGTAAACTCAGTGACCTCTTTCATAATAATTTTACAGCCGTTCATATCCATGAAAATCCCCCTTTCAAGGTTTACTGTTAATAAGGCAAATTTCTTTTCACCCTTAATACATTTGGGTCAGACACATTGTCTGTTGCTACAAATTCCCACTTGTTTCCCATTAATCCTCTTTAGTTGAGAAAATTATTAACATCTGTAAAAGAACAATGCATTTTCTATAGCACTGTGAAAAGCATGAGCAAGTTAAATTGAAATTAACCCTAGTC